GGGGGGGGGGGGGGGGGGAGAATGGACTACAGCAGTGTGATCCCAGGAAAATCCACTTCTCACAGCTTGGCGAGGGGATTATATTCACTCATGAGAGGGCAGACTGGGCCCCCTTTGGAAGCCTGACCTCCATTCCCAGATCTCAGGGTGCTAGAAGGAGCCTGAGACTAGAAGAGAAGGAGCTAATATAGCAAAGGTGCAAAGATCCACTAAATGGCCCAAATCGGGGGAGGGGGGTTGGAGGGGCTTAGATGTTGGGGATCAGCTCCAAACTCTCTGTCTGTCTCTCTCTCTCTCTCTCACACACACACACACACACACACACACACACACACACACACGCTGGTCACCTTGCCATCCAGCTGGGGTAATTTTTTTTTAAACTTTTTTTTAAAAAATATATTTTTGTTGATTTCAGAGAGAGGAAAGGAGAGGGAGATAGAGATAGAAACATCAATGATGAGAGAGTCATTGATCGGCTGCCTCCTGCACGTCCCTTGCTGGGNCTGCCTCCTGCATGCCCCTGACTGGGGGATTGGGCCCGCAACCTGGGCATGTGCCCTGACCAGGAATCGAACCCTGATCTCCTGGATCCTAGGTCGACGCTCAACCGCTGAGCCACACCCAGCCAGGCTGGGGTAATTTTAATAACTGAAGACTCACATCCCATAGCTAGTTTCGGAGAGAGGAAAAAGAATTTTTTTTCTCAGTATATGTTGGTGGATAGCTTGGCAGTTTTCATGAACGACAGGCAGCTGTGCTGGGTGTTAGAATTGGCAAGCACAGCAGCATGACAGACTGTGCCCGTCATATATACACTGCCTGTGTGAATTATGATTAATTTAGCGTGTGTGTGTGTGTGTGTGTGTGTGTGTGTGTGGTAAGCACTGAAGCCCAAAGTTAGCTCTGTCACAGACTTTATGTAACTATGATGAAGTCATTGATACTCCCTGGCCCCCAATCTCCTCATTTGCAAGTAGACTGGGTGCTCTTTGAATTTTTTTCCAGTGCTAACATTCTACTCTATTGTTTTTCCTTCTGAAAGGGTACGCGCGCGCACACACACACACACACACACACACACAATTTCCCCCCAGAATAGAACTATAAAGTGCATAGGGTAGTATCAGAATGTGAGTTTCATGAGCATGGGCTCTCTGCCTGCCTCTCCCCTGACTCAGTCCCGCACAGTGCCTGGCACATAGGAGGTGTCCACTACGTTCCTTCAGGGGATACATCTGAGTCCCCAGCCAGGCTCGGATCCTTAAAGGCAAGTATCACACCATGATATCCCCAGACCTAAGGTAGGTATTCAGTGAAGAGTCATGCTTTTATTTAACAAACATTTATTGACCAACTGCTAAATGCCAGGGCTTGTATGTCCATGTATGTCTAATGTCCAAGAAAGATGCAAAGAAGAGCTCAGACACTGCTCTTTCTGTCAAGGAGCTTACCCTTTGCTAGGACACTTAAAGTGATAAGTGTCTTAAGAGAGTTCCCGGGAGGCAGTTTGGGGTGGTATTGGTTCTTTTCCCATCTCTCTTCTTTTGCTGGATGAGTCTATGGTTTCATCCTTGGATTTTAGTTCTTACTGGGCATCCATTCTTTGAAGTCTTGCCCAGTTTCATAGATTTGACATAGGAATAGGTTGATGATACCAGATTTACCTCTCTGAGCTGCAGACTCATCTTTCCAACAGTGTCCTGAACATCTCCAGATGCAGACCTGCAGACACCTCCTCAAGGCTCAGATTAGATACCTTTATAACCACCTGGATCCAAGTGAAAATACTAGATATTCTGGAACATCATCTCATGCTTTTCAGTCAGCAAACGTGTATTGAGTACCTGCTTTGGAGGGGGAAACATGCAATTTTAAAGGCAAACCAGGATGGTTCCTGCTCTCAAGCAGAGACTGGACATGCACCCTTAAAAAAATCAGATAATCAAGGGCG